GAAAAAATGTATTATTTTTTATTTTATGTGTATGAGTGTTATGCCTACATGTAAGTGCACCCATATCTTGCAGTGCCCAAGGAGGGCAGAGAGGGCATCAGATCCCCTGAAACTGGAGTTACTGACAGTTGTTAGCTGCCATGGGGGTGTTGAGAACAGAACCCAGGTCCTCTGCAAGAGCACTCAGTGCTCTTACAGCCCTCTTTTATTTTTTAAAGATTTTTAAATTTGTTATTATGTCTGTATGTACTTGTGTATACACACACACACACACACACACACACACACATGTAGGTTAGAGGACAACTTTGTAGAATCAGTACTTTCCACCTTTATATGGATTCTGAGAATTGAGCTCAGGTCTCGAGGCATACAAGACAAATGCCTTTACCCACTGAGCCATCTTGCCATTCCCTAGAAACCTTTACTACTGCTCTCTTTCTTCACTTTCTTTCTTACGGTTGGAACTGGGGCAATACTGAAATGATATAAAAGAGGTGACTCGAACTGGGGGCATAGCTCAGTGGTAGAGCATGCATGAGACCGAGTTTGGTTCCCAATACTGCCAGAGAAAAGAGGTGGCTTTGTATTTTCCCTTTAGGATGTCTTTCAAACTTCAGTTAAATCCTCTACCCTTGGCTGTGTGGCTCTTTTGTAAAGCTGGGTTGACAGCTTCACTCATATGTCCTGGCTTCCACAGGGCATGTCAGTGTTTGTCCATGCTGGACCTTTGGCCCACATTGCACATGGGAATTCCTCCATCATTGCAGACCGGATTGCACTCAAGCTCGTTGGCCCTGAGGGCTTCGTAGGTGAGTCCTTGTGCAGCCTCAGCAGATAGATTGTCTATGAACATCAGGGAGTTAACAATGGCAATTTTTAAAATTTCTCTTCTTTGCTGCAGTGACTGAAGCAGGATTTGGGGCAGACATTGGAATGGAAAAGTTCTTCAACATCAAGTGCCGGTATTCTGGTCTGCAGCCACATGTGGTGGTGCTTGTTGCCACTGTCAGGGCTCTTAAGATGCATGGGGTGGCCCCACAGTGAGGACAAAGGGCTGGAAGAGTGTGGTTATCAGGAAAGTTCAAAGGCTTCAAGGACATGTGCTGGGGTCTGCATTCCACCCCTCTTATCCTCATGATGGATAAAGTGCCAGACAACTCCTGTGCTGGCATTTTAAGTGGGGGTGGGGATGGTGCAGATTGGCTTTGTGCCCTACCTTTCTGAGGAAAATATCCAAAGGTATCTAAACCCTCCAAAGGCTTATGCTTTGGGGAGCTACTGCCAGAAAGCTCCCCATCAGCCTTTTCTTTGTAATCAATATTGACACTGGCAGCCAGTCAACCAAACTTTTGAGCTGAGGCAGAAGTCAGCTGTAAGTAACATACATTCACATAGACACACACACGCACACACACACACATCACCACTGTCAGCTCAGCCAATTGTAGATAGTTTTGAAGTTTTACTTATTTTTATTTGATGTGTATGAGTGTATTGCCTGCCATGTATGTGAATGTACCCGTGTCATGCAATGCTGCAGAAGTCAGAAGAGGGCTTCAGATTCCCCTGGAACTGGAGTTAAGGACGGTTCATAGCCGCCATGTGGATGCCGGGACTTGAACCCAGGTCCTCTACAAGAGCAGTCAGTGCTCTTAATCTCTGAGCCATCTCTCCAGCTCCAAACCTGAATTCTTTTTCTACTCGAGTATTCTTATATCTCTTCATTAGACTAACATGAAGTGGTAGTATTCAGCAATCACTGTGATATTAAGTCCCTATTCTTTTTTAAAGAATTCTATGTATTTATTTTTATTTTATGTGTTTGAGTATTTAGCCTGCATGCATGTAAATGCACCTGTGTGTGCAATGCCCACAGAGACCATCATCTGAAGACAGCATTAGCTCCCCTGTACCTGGAGTTAAGGATGGTTGTTGGCTGCCATGTGGGAGCTGGGATCTGAACCTGGGTCCTCTGCAAGAGCAGCCAGTGCTCTTAACCATTAGGCCATCTCTCCATCCCCATAAAGAACTTTTTAAATGAAAACATACTATGCTTTCTGAAACAAAATATAGGTATTGTCCATTTTTCTGATCTCTTCTATGTTGATTCACTAGAGACAGTTGACTTATCTTCTGCATGTGATCTCTTATGCTATCACAGGGCACAAAGCCTTTGGAGAGTCCACTGTACATATATTCAGCGAGAGAGAGAGCAAAAAGGGCACAGGACCTTGGCACTATTGGGGAGTCAGTTTTGACACTGCACCCCTGGGAAGGCTGAGATCCCAGATCACACTGAGGGCACTGCCCCAACATCTCTTCAAACTATTGGCCTTAGTTGCCCCAGAGATGCCAAAAATACTCTCACCATTGCACCTCCTTTTCTACCCTCTGACCTGATGGTCTACATTTAACCTGCCTGCGACCAAGGCTGGCAATACATACAGCCCAATGCAAAGCCCTCCCTAAACTTACCTAAAACATGGAGGATTTGAGGGGCTTTAGGGTTTTGTTCTTGTTGTTTGTAATTCTACTCTGCAATTCTTGAGTGTGAACTTTGTAGGTAACGACATTGTGTTGCATTGTCAAAGGCTGAACATGCCCGGGAGCTTCACAGTAATAATACTGGCACCTGCCCTGGCAGTGCTGAGAGGAGACTTTGTACATACATCTCTGTCCCCTCAGAGGGAAGCTGCATGTGAGCTCCTTGCTTCCTGCCCATGTGGCCCTTGTAGGCTTACAGCACCATAGTCCCCCTGAGCAGTGGAAGAGGACCCAACTGGAGGCTTCTTAATTACTCTGTTGCCCACGGTGGTCAGTGGATCAGTACCTCGAGCCTTTTGCTTATCCCATGCAACAGGGTTGGACTACCCACCCAGATCACCCAGCTGCCACCAGCAGGGCCCAGGCCCCTCTACACAGTATTCAGTGTCTGGAGTCTTCTAAGTGTACTTCACCACAGAGGAAGAAAGTCCCCCCCCATGTTTTGAGTCAGGCTCTCATATAGCCCAGACTAACTGCAATTTACCATGTCAGTGAGGACCTTGAACTAATCCTCCAGCCTCTACCTCCCAAGTGTTAGGATTATGGGTGCACACTACTACACTTGGCTCTTGTTTACCCCCTTCTTGTTTCTGTTTATGCATCACAGTTCAGGTCCCCCAGGCATAGGCAGCAGACTTCTCATAGGCCTGATCGCAGATATCCAGGTGACATTTACAGGGCTGGCAACTTCCTTTTCCCCACATTTACCTTTACTTTTGTTCCACCCCACTGCTGTGTGCTCACAGGGTCACTGTCTGGAAGCACATTTCTGTCTATCTCAGCCTTCATAGATCTCTCCCTCCTCACCTTGTATCCCAAAGGGCCCCACTCTGCTCACTTCTTGTCCTGTGTTCTGTGACTGGTGTCAACCCCAAGTCCTTAGGGCAGAAAACGGCTTTCACACTGTTGGGCATCTGCCCAAGCATGCAGCCTCTTGTCTGTCACAATGCCACCTAAGCTCCAGCCTAACAGTGCTGGAGTAGGAAACGTACCTGACTCAGTTTCCTTTCCTTCCAGGTCACTGCTGGACTGCCTCTTCCCAAGGCCTACACAGAGGAGGTAACTTCACTTATTTCTAATCATCTCTCCTAGACAGTGCCACACCCCAAATCAGCATTTCTCAGTCTGGCCATGGAAAACAAAGGGGGAAAAACTCCCACCCAGGGTTGTTCCTGGGAGTGCAGGATGTCAAAGCCCCTGAGTGTGATGGAGGTTGAAGTAGTCAAGTTGCGTCACGTTGGATGGAAGGAGGCTAGTTCTTTGTGGGCAGTTTTACTCCCAGGGGATGTTTTGACCATGTCTAGAAACTTTTTGTTGTTTGTTGGAGACAGGGTCTTGTTATTTAACTCAGGCTGGGCTTGAACTCATAATCCTTTGCCTCAGTCTCCTAAGTGCTGGGATTATAGGCAGGTACCCTGATACCTAACTAGAGAGACATTTTTTATTGTTACAACTGAGGGGTAGGGAGTGTTCCTGGCATCTAGTGGATAGGAGCCAGGGATGCTGTTAGACATTCCACAGTGTGTAGGGCAGTGCTGCAAGTGCCCCCTAAGTACAATGATGGTAGTGTTGGACTAAATCCCTGCCCTAGACTATTTGAAGTTTCCCTCACCGTCTTCCTCACTTTGACTGGAGAAGTTCCAAAAGCCATCAGAAGCAAAAAGGGACCTTTAGAAATAACCTTTTCCTCTGCAGATCCAAACCCACATTAAAGACTGAAGATAAAGACTGTCTCCTAGTTGAATTTTGTAGGCATATCTTCCATAAGCCGATTGGGTCTACTGGACAGGAGCCCAAAGAACAGTTGTGAGCTCAATTCTTTTCATACTGATATCATTTACCATCAAAGAAACATCCCTAGGGTCCCTGAGTGGTTATGTAACAGGCCCTTGGATTAGATGCAGGGTCAGTTGCTGTCACGGTTAATTCAATTTCTCTGCCTTTTGGAAGCTTTTACATTATCAGGCAATACAGGGTCACTGCAGTCTCAAAATGAAATTTGCAAAATTGTCTAGAAAAAAGATTGTTGGTGCCTTAAGTCTGCCTGTCTTTTGAGTTACCATTTGCCTTTTATGGTCATCTGTCTGATCCGTGCGTAGGAGGGGAATTCACAGTTCTGGCCCTCCTGCCACCCCACAGCCTTTCCTGTATCTAATTACAGTGACTGCCCCAAGAGCCCAGCTGGTGTCTTCCTTTAAGAAATTCTAATTATTTAAACTGTTCTCAATCAGTCTTTTGTATTAATTGGTTTTTATGTGACTAGAGGTTTAAAAAAAACGACAGAGCTCTTTATACCTCAGATTAATCCTAATCTCAGGTTCTAATTATCAGATGGAGGAAGCACAAACCTCATTTATAAGATTCTCTTTCCTGCCTTTAGCCTACCTATTTTTCTTCCCTGCTGTTTTAGGCATCTGAAAAACAAGCAGTAAATGCTGTTAGGTTTTCCTTATAGTACTGCATATGTTTTTATGACAATTATATTTTTACTTTTTACACTCTTAATGCTTTGGGAATTTTTACTATATTTTTTATTATTTTATTTGTGGTGCTGGGATCAAACCCAGAGGCTTGTGCATGCTGATGTGTAATCATAGCTAGCCCCTTAATGTATTTTTCAGTGATATGTTATCTGTGGTTTATATGTTGTATGATATGTGGCATGTGTGGTGTTTGTGTGTGGAGTATGGTATATGTGTATGGTGTGTATGTGGCATGTGTGTGATATGTGGTGTGTATGGTATCTGTAGTGCATGTGGTATGTGTGTGGTATGTGTATGTGGTTTGTATATATGTATGGTATGCATGTGATATGTGGTGTGCAAGTGTGGTATCTGTAGTGTATGTGGTATGTGGTATGTGTATGTGGTTTGTATGTGTGTATGGTATGTATGTGTAGGTCTATGTCTGTGTCTGTGTGTTGTATGTTGCCCAGGCTGACCCAGAGCTCTCTATATCCCTGCCTTCACTTCTATGCACTGGTTTGTAAAACCAGTATGTAAACCTGAGTAGGCCTGGGTGGGGAATGGGTGGAGCTCAGGGGTAAAGCATTTGCCAAGCTGGCTACAAGAATGTAAAGGATTGAAGTTCCTGGTACATATTTTTCAACATTTAAAGAAATTTCTGATAGAGTTCTTGTCTAACTTGCACAAAGCCCTGAGTTTAACCCCTAATACCACATAAAGCCAGGCATTCTTGTACATGCCTGTAATCTCAGTACTTGGAAAGTAGAGGCAGGAGGAGCAGAAATTCAAGACCAGTCTGAGCTACATGAGCCCCCCCAAATCAAAACAAATTTTTTGTGCCAGTGCACGCCTTTAATCTCAGCACTGGGGAAGCAGAAGCAGGTGAATCTCTGTGGGTTCAAGACCAGCCTGGTCTCCATAGTGAGTTCCAGGCCAGCTGGGGCTACAGGGAGACCCTATCTCAAAAACACTTAAAAATTTTTTTTTAATAGAGTTAATTAAGCTTTCCATAGCTTTGCAACTTTAGGACACCTTGGATAGGCTTCATTTTAACACAGGTGTCAGTTTTTATAACGTCTACATGATGAGCATTTGTATTTATGACTTCCTTGGCTGAATCTCCTCTTGAAGGTTAGTGTTTGCAACTTTTCAATGCTTTGCACAATGCTACAGTAAATATATTCAAAGGTATGTTGCAAACCAACGATAGTGGCACACTTCGGTAATCCTCACACTTGGGAGGATGAGGGCGCAGGATCACAAGGTCTAGGAGCCCAGAAATATAGTAAGACCCTATTGATAAACACACAAACAGACAAACAAATGTTATGTTTCCTTAACCAGGCATTCAGGCACACACCTGCAGTCTCAGCTCTGAGGAGGTGGAGGCAGGAGGATCCCTACGAGCTTGAAGGCAGCCTAGTCTACACAATGAGTTTTAGGCCTGAGCTAAAGAGTAATGCTGTAATTCCAAAAAGTTTTATTTGCTTTAAACTTTAGATTTTATAGTATTGGGGGAGAGAGAGAGACAGAATGAGAGAATGAATCACTATGTTGCTCAGAGAAATCTCAAACTCTTAAACTTATAATCATCCCTAGTATTGTAGCTAGGACTACAGGTAGGTGCTACCAGACCAGTTAATACTTATTTGGGGGGTTTGTTTGTTTTTGTGATAGCGTTGTGCAATACAGGCTGTTCTCAAACTCATAGATGAGGATGACCTTGAACTTCTGAACCTCCTTGAGTTTTGGGATGATAGGTGTGCATGACCACACCTGGTTTCTGTGCTGATGGGGATCAAACCAAGGGCTTGGTACATACTAGGCAGGCACTCTACTACTGAGCTATATCCACAGCTCATTGTATGTGGGGGTTGGGGGTATGTAGGTATGTCCACAGCTCAGTGTATGTGGGGGTTGGGGGGTATGTAGGTATGTGCACATGGGTGCAGGTACCCCATGAAGGCCAGAGATATCAGATCCCCCTGGAGCTGGAGTTACAGGCAGTTGTGAGCTGTCTGGTATGGGTGCTGGGAACCAAACTGAGGTCATTCTTAACTGCTGAGCCATCTCTCCACTCCAGCTCCTTCTTTTTTTGTGACAGGGTCTCACTATGTAGTCCTAGTGGCCTGGAACTCACTATGTAGATCAGGATGGCCTGGAACTCACAGAGATCCACCAGCCTCCACCTCAGACATGTGTTACCATGCCCAACCTTCCTTTTAAAATTTGTGTGTGTGTGTGTGTGTGTGTGTGTGTGTGCACATGCACACAGAGCTGTCTGCAGGAGTCAGAAGATGGTGCCAGATCCCTGGAAGCTGGAGTTATAGGTGATTGTGAGTCATCTGACATGGGTGCTGGGATCCAAACTTGATTCCTCTGGAAGCACAGGAAGTGCTCTTAACCACTGAGCCATTTCTCCAGCCCAACACATGGTTTTTCAAGATAGGATCTCTCTTGGTTTGTTAGTCTAGCAAAGGCTCATGATTGGGTTCATTAAATCTTCTGGAAATTTCACTGACTTCTTCGTACTCAATGGTGTGGTAGTTGAATGTTGAATACCTCTTCGGGGTCAGACCCTGTGGTGAGCTCATGTCTTCTCATCAAATGGTTTGTGCTGTACTAAGAAGAGTCCCTTTGTTTTGTTATACCATAGGAGGTCATCAGATGAGTAAACATAGGTTGTAAGCATAATTTAGGTGGACACAATGAACTGATCCCCTTCACACAACAAAGAGACCATTAATATGTGGCATAATGATTTCAGACACCCCTGCTCTCCTCTCATGTTTTCAAGGTGCGGAGAGACAGCGCAGCTTCACTCCTGTGCTGTGGGCAGCGGGTGTTGCTTCTCCCTCCTCCACAGCATGGGCTCCGCTGTGAGGAATGTGTGCCTGGCCTTCTCTTCCTTGTTCTTTTCTTGCTCTGACTATGAATGTCTTCTGATTTAGACTCACTTTCCTTTCCTTTTTTTCCCTTCTTTTTTTTTTGGAGACAAGGACTCACTATGTAGCCAGGCTGGTATCAACTTTATCCTCCTGCCTCAGCCTCCTCTGACTGCTGGAATCACAGGTGTGCAGTAGAGTGCCCCAGGGGAAATTCCTCTTTTAAAAAGAAGCAACAGTTGTTTTCAAGTCTGTTTGCATTTACTTTATAGATCTTTTGCTATTGTTTTACAGGACCTGGAGCTTGTTGAAAAAGCCTTTAGTAACCTGAGGAAACAAATAGAAAATGCCAGAATGTTTGGAGTGCCTGTAGTTGTGGCAATGAATGCATTCAAGTAAGTGCAAAGTGTGAGAGAATGGAAGAATGGAGAAATGCCAGTACACATGTTCTGTAGCACTTTGTGCAGTGCTGCTCTTAGCTTCATTGCTGCTCAGTTACTGTTGTTGGTTATAGCTTGTGATCATGGCAGGCACCATATGTATCACAGCAGACTTGCTGCCTTGCCACTGAGGGTCTGGAAGTCAGATTTGGCCTCCCAAGGGCCCTCTTTTTCTTAATATTTTATTTATTATTTTTTTAATGTCATGTGTATGAGTATATTACCTGCATGTATGTAAGTGCACCTGTGTCCTGCAATATCCACAGAGGTCAGAAGAGGGCGTCAGATTCCTCTGGAACTGGAGTTACAAACAGTAGTTAGCAGCCATGTGGGTGCTGGGAATTGAACCCAGGTCCTCTGTAAGAGCAGGCAGTGCTCTTAACTGCTGAACCATCTCTCTGGCCACTCCCCCCTCCCACCACCCACAGAGGCCCTCAAGATTGACATGAAGTGTTCCTTTCGATTTTTCTAGGCCTTTTGTACTAACAGAGTTACATAGCCCACAGCATTCCCCTTATTTCACTGGGTCTGGTGGGATGTTATCTCAAGAGTTGATGTATTGAACTACAAGTATTCATGCAAGAACTCATGTGGGTTGTTTGGCATTGTAGTACTGTTTAGGGTTTTGTTATAATGGTCCCACAAAGGCAGAATGGGAAGCAACATGTTTCAAAGCTAGTATTTACTCATTCCCAGTGGCGTACTGGGACTGTTTCAGATACTTTGCCATCTAAGCCTGTGATATCCTCATGCCATAGTGTTGTGTTTCTTTCTGTTTTATCCATGTGAAAAGCAAGAAAGTACAGTTGAGGTAACTTGCCAAAAGTCACTGAAGCTCTTTGGTTATGGAGCTGGGATTGAAACCAGGCAGGATTGATGAGGTCTATTTATCAGTGGTTTTGATGGCGCAAAGCAAAACCTCTTCTACCCTTCATGCCACCATCTATTCTTAAACATGAAGCATTCCCTTTACAGGACAGATGCAGATGCTGAGCTGGACCTCATTGGCCGCCTCTCCAGAGAACATGGGGCTTTTGATGCTGTCAAATGTACTCACTGGGCTGAAGGGGGCAAGGGTGCCTTAGCCCTAGGCCAGGCGGTCCAGAGAGCAGCACAGGACCCCAGCAGCTTTCAGCTCCTCTATGACCTCAAGGTAGGTTACTTACTATGTGCCAACAAACCAAACAAAAGTAGAATGAATTTGTGAAGATTCCACTAGGTGGAACTTAAGTTTAGTTAGCAGCTTTAGCCTTGTGGTCTGATTCCCATTTGGGTGGGTCACACTGACCACAATGTGAACACTCAGCTCTAGGCATCTGTATGATAAATACACTTTGCTGCTTATTTGCAAGTGAGAATCCCTGGGGAGCTCACACCCTAAATTTGGAAAGCTCACAGAATAAATCCTTTTGCTGGCAGAAGAGAGGGAGCTAAGAGATGGAACTAAGTGTGCAACTCACTGAGCCTTTCGCGCAAGGCATCAGCCATGTGGTAGCAAATTGTCAAGGGGCCATATCAAGCTTAGGAAATTTTTCTGACCAATAATAGGTCAAAGAAGGATGTTCCAGCCGGGCGTGGTGGCACACGCCTTTAATCCAGACCTCTCTGAGTTCAAGGCCAGCCTGGTCTACATAGTGAGTTCCAGGACAGCTGGGGCTACAGGGAGACCCTGTCTCAGAAAGACAAAAAAGGATGCTCCAAAGCTCACTTCCTACCACTGTGCCACATCTAGTTCAGAGAAACCCTCAGCACCAAAACACCTCCACAGGCTTCATCATCTTCTCCATCACTGAGTCAAGTGAATTACATCTGACCTGGCAGAAGCACTTTTTCCTATGATACTATGCAGTTAGCTCAGAGAAGGTTGTTCTTATTATAGGGCCATATTTCAGGATGCAATTGGACATCAAGTAGTCTGTCTATGGTCATTGAAAACCATTAGGAACATGGGGTGTGTTTGTGGTTCATTCCGTTTCCATTCTCTATGCTACTTTTTGGATTGGTTTTTCAAAGATAACCAGAAACATTGGGAAACAGCCACAAAAATTGTGGAAAGGTCTGAGTTTCACTCAGTAAAGTGCCTGCCACACAAGCCTGAGGACCTGTGTTTAGACTCCCAGCATCCTATAACTGGGTGCAGTAGTGCATGTCTACAACCCCAGTGCTGGAAGGGTAGAGACATGTAGCTCTGGACCAGTCTAGCCAAATTGATGAGCTCCAGGTTCAGCGAGAAACCCTGACTCAAAATATAAGATAGAGAGTTACGGAGGAAATACACCTCACATTATTCTCTGGCCTCCATGTTGCACGCACCCACACAAACGTGTGAACACCACACACACACACATACACACACACACACAAGTTCACAAAGGAAACCTTTTCACTCTTGAGTTTCAACATTTTTGTTTTTTCTCTTTGCTCTTGCAGATATAAAGCAGAGTTAATTAGCATTCCCCTCTTGATACTGACATTCTACTGTTGAGCTTTGGTTTTGTAAATGGGTTTGCAAATCTGTCCAAGCAATTATCTTTCTAGAAAATGCCATAAACATAAATGTGCACACAAAATGGAAAGCATTTACAGACCCCCCCCCCCAAGCCACCACCCACAGTGCCTGAGTTTGGGAACCCCAGAACTTGAGGGCCAGCACGCACCTTGAAAGAAGCGAAGTAAATGCCAGGTGTGGTGGCATGTGCCTTTAATCCCAGCCCTTGGGAGTCAGAGGCAGGTGAATCTTTGTGAGATCGAGGCCACCCTGGTTCACGTAGTGGCTTCCAGGCAAGCTCTGACTAGGAAGACCTTGTCAAAAAACATTGGACGAAAAAACAAATGAAGTGGGGTAAACAGGATTTCATAACCCATTTCTTCACAAGTCCTCCTCCTTTAACAAATAGCCTGCCACTTTTTTGTCCTATTCAGCATCTGCAAGTCTTAAATCACCCCTCAACCAAAGAGCTTCTGCTTCTGAGGTTCTACATATGCCTTGGCATTTCCCAGGATCCAATTAAAAGATGCACATGCTTGTCATCTGCTGCAGCTTTCTAAAGCTGCTTCTGAGAACTCAACTCTATTCGTTTCTGTTGTATAAAGTCTCTTTATACTGGGCTTGGTGGCAGGCCTTTAATCCCAGCACTCAGGAGACAGAGGCAGGTGGATCTTGGAGTTCAAGACCAACCTGGTCTACATAGCAAGTTCTAGGCCAGCTGGGGCTACAGGGAGCCCTGTCTCAAAAAGACTAAAAAAAAAAACAAATAAGGCAACTTCATAAGCTCTCACTGTTTGGTTACAAGTAGGGCTTGTGGGGCTGGAGAGATGGCTCAGTGGTTAAGAACACTGACTGCTCTTGCAGAGGACCCGGGTTCAATTCCCAGCACCCACATGGCGGCTACGAACCATCCTTAACTCCAGTTCCAGGGGAGTCCGACACCCTCTTCTGACCTCCTTGGCATTGCACAACTCAGGTGCACTCACAGAAATGCAGGCAATACACTTATACACATGAAATGAAAATAATAAATAAAATATTTTTTTAAAGTAGGGTTTGTATTTTTATAGGTAGATTGTTGCCCTTTTCAAAAACCAAAACCTGTATAGTATATTTTCTTGGCCTTAGTCACTAGGGAGTAGAAAGCCAGATAAATTGACTAATTTTAGTAGAGTGTTTATATATGTATGTGTGTATACCTCTTCATATCTACAAAGATAGATAACAACTTTACACCTGAGATGTTTTCCACTTATCAAGTCTGAGGCTTGGTATTAAAATGTTTCTAAGCTGGTGAGATGGCTCAGCAGGTAAAAGTGCTTGCCACCAAACCTGACTTCTGGTAGATGCTATATGCAAGGTCCCATCACTTCTAATAAATAATTTAATTAAATGTTTCTGACCCAATAAACCAAGGTATTTGCATGCCTGTAGTTTATAAAGCAATCTTGAATCTCCTTTGGGAACACTAACCTGCAATGTTCCTGCTAAGAATCCTCATGCCTATCCAGTCACAGTCTTCCTCTCCCTCTCTTACATTTTTAGCTCCCAGTTGAAGATAAAATCAGGATCATTTTGCAGAAGATCTATGGGGCAGAGGACATCGAACTGCTCCATGAAGCTCAGCACAAAGCAGAAGTCTACACAAAGCAGGTAGGTGTCAGTCTGAAGCCTGAGTCCTCCCAGCCCTACGCACTCCCATGACTTCACTTCTCCAGGTGGCAGCCTCGTCTTCCCAAAAATGCTGGGTCTGGGTTAGGGGTTCCAGTTCTAAGTTCTTCATTTGCCTGTACGTGGTAAATGAGACACAGAGAATCCAGGAGGAAATATGGTGTGTCTTGCCAACAAACTGAGAGCCCCTCTCCCGTTTGGTTCTTGTCTCTACTACAAACCACTGTATTGGTTGACTATGTAGGTGGAATTATGTAGTCACTTGAAGACTATAGTTGAGTATGTACTTCAGAGATTCTTTTTTGGTCTGCCATAACTAAGCTGGAGGGTGGAAAGGTAGAGATGGGTGGAAAGGGAGCCAGCTATCTCAACTGCTTCCTTTGTGGGGTCTAGATGTCCTGGTTTTATGTCTGAATGTTTTGCCTGCAGGTATATAAATGCACTGCATGCATTCAGTGCCCACAGAGGCTGGAAGAGAGTGTTGGATCCCCGGGAACTGGAGTTTTCAACAGTTGTTAGCCGCCATGTGGATGCTGGGAATTGAACCCAAGTACTCTTCAAGAGCGGCCAGGGCTCTTAACCATTGAGCATCTCCAGCCTGAGTCTAGATGTTCTTCATTGTGTAGCCAGTGTTCCCTTTGTAATGCCACTTTCCCTTTTTCCCCAGGGCTTTGGGAATCTGCCCATCTGCATGGCCAAAACACACTTGTCTTTGTCTCACAACCCCGAGCAAAAAGGTGTGCCCATTGGCTTCATTCTGCCCATTCGTGACATCCATGCCAGTGTTGGGGCTGGTTTTCTGTACCCCTTAGTAGGAACGGTAAGTCCGGGCTGCAGGAATGGAGCCTGCTTGCCTGTGCTTCTATTTTGATAGGTGTTTCTCAGACTCTAAGAAAATGCCAAATTAGCAGAGTTCACTGCCCAGGAGAAAGTTGGAATTAGGCTTGTCCTGGTTAATCCTCCATACTGGTGCCAATTGAACTGTAATGCTGTGGCTGCCTCTGTCTTCTGAATAAGATCTGGTTTCCCTAGGGACAGTTTGCTACTGGCCCTTTTTTTTTTTTTTTTTTTTTTGGTACTACTATACTGCTAGTTTTCTTTGTCAGCTGTATTTGCATTATTCTCTCATTTAATCATTGAGTCTTTTTCAAGTTTTCTCTCTTCACGAAAGAGCCCCCCAAAGCTCTGGGCTTGTGGCCTATGACCCTTACATAATACCTGGGTTCTCCCAAGTTTGTGCATCACCAGGCTCAGATTTTCCTGCATGGTCTGTTCACTAGAAGAAGGCTGGGTAAGGACGGGTTTCCATTCTTCCTCTGAAACTGACTTCTTACATATGTTAATCTTGATGCTTCAGTCCAGTCCCTTGTCTTCTGCCACAAGTATGCGGAGAAGGTAGGTGGTCATCCACTTTATACAGAGTTCTGTAGTTCCAGAGTAGAAGTATGTGCATTTGGTGGAAACATGAAGTGTTCATGATTTGACTATTTTACCTAGAGAAAGGGCAATTTCGTATACTTAGATCTGGTAGTAATGAACAGATAGGAAGAGGGCTGGGCTTTCTTTAAACGCATCTCCACTTTCTTCTGTCTCATTAATTCACATAGGAGAGATACACTTGTTGAACGTTCTGTGCTCAGCATTTTGGTAGATGTTGGGGTTGCAAAGAGAAATCACGAGTGTTTCTTGCTCCCTCACCGAGAAGAGCAACTCTCAGTCAACTCCAATGTGTCAGGGGCTGTAAGACATCCCATGAGACTGTGGGGGCAGCTGGGTAGACCGGCTGTCCCAGGTTGGCCAAGCCTGCCCTAGTTTTAACACTGAAGGTCCTGGGTGGACTAGGGCCAGTTCAACCTTGGGCACTGGGCAAGTCCATCCTAGTGGTCCAGTGGTTTAGGGCTGCAGATGAAGCCCACTTCTCTACCTAGGAAGAGGCAGGAAGCACATCTGCAAGATAAAAGTTTGGGAAACACTCAGAATGGCAAAAGTTGCTCAATTTCTTTAACCAGAATTTCTCTAACTTACTTGACTTTGAAACTCTTTTTTTTTTTTTTTTAAATAGGGCTTTTTGCTACTCTAACATTACCCCTCTGAAGAGATAACTCTAAAATCTTTTAGGGATTAAATAAGCGCTCCCGAATATTTTTGTCATTTTTGGCCTTTGGAACAGAGTATGTTGCTAAGAGGCCCAAGGACATTTTGACTTTTAGCCAGGAAACTGCCTACTTTTCTTTGGGGTCTTTTTAACCCTAACTGCCTAGCCAATTTCTGCCTTCTGTTGTTATCACACCATCCTCTGAAGAGTACCCAAATTGCTGATAGGGAATTGGGACGCAGACTGCTCTAGCTTCTTCCATGTTGAACAGGGATGCAGGGTGAGGCAATTGGGGTACCCCTTCAGCAGGTCTATCAAAAAGATGCTCAAATTGCATAACTCTTATCTGTAGGAAGAAAAGAAAGCCCTTGACTCATGAATACACGATGTGAAGGAGAAATAAAGGACAAGAGTAGTTGTATTATAAGTTCTAGACAGGGAACCAGAAAAAAATCAGAACAGGGCAAATTTTAAATTTTCATATCAGAGTCCATTGGAATTTCTTGACAAGAGCTTCCAAAAGCGTCCCTCTATTGGGTACTTCCTCATTTTTCTTTTGTCTTCCAAGGCTGGACTAGTTGGCTGGGAAGAGTGGCTGGATACTCAGGTGAGGGTCCAGTGACCCTGCTT